CCCCCCCCCCAAAGACACAGGCAGGCACAGGCAGGGCCAACGTAGCAGCTTTTAGTCATGACCGAGGCTCTCCTCGCCCCCCCGAGCACCCCCTTGTCTTGCCGGCAGGGCCAGGGGCCGCTCCCCAGGGCGAAGGTTGGCGGGGGGAAGCCGGGCTCTGCCCGTGGCAGCAGCGCAGGATGTGCCAAGAGCAGAACAACTGCAGCTGGAGGGCACTGGCACTGGCCTGGGAGAGACTCGGGGGCGGGCTCCGGCGTGGCAGCGCTGCCCCCCACCCCCAGCCAGCACTGTAGGAGTCGGGGAAGGGGCACAGGGAGGGCCTGGAAGCCCCCCGGGGCCGCAGGGACAAAGGTCGATGCGGGAGCGCAGGAGTCCGCCTGGGCCCGGGGAGAGCGGAAGAGCCGGCTCTGCGTGGCAGCACCATCGGGACTCACGTGTAGGAAAGCAGGTTGATATCGTAGCAGCCATCCACCTGGAAAAGAGAACAACCGTCGGGCCCCGCACAGCACCGTGACTCTGCTGGGACACCCCACCTCACCCCGCTGGGCCCAGCCCCTCCAGGAGGCCGCAGCCCCTGCCAGCAGGGTGCCAGGACTCACATCGAAGCGCCCGATGCGGGCAGCTGCCTGGCGAGCCCGGATAACCTCCGTCAGCACCCACATCTGCTGCACCTCCGTCGACACCTTCTCCGGGTCGGGAAGCTCCTGGAAAGAAGCGAGCACGATGCTGTGGAGCGGGGATGGCCCAGATGGATGGCCCTGGGCTTGGGCAGCGGTGTGGCTGCATGGCTGTGCCCCCCCGTGGAGCCATGACGGTGCCCACGTTGCCGACCTGCTGGTGGTTCCCCAAGGCAGGGGGAGCAGGGCCCTGCTCTAGGAAAACAGGCAACTGGGGGAATGGGTGACCCTGAGCCACAGGTACCGCGGCACTGATACAGCCCATCTCTGCTGGCAGGCGTCCAGGGCAGAAAGCAGATCGCTGATTAATCATTAAAAACCTAATCGCACAGTCCAGAGTTTCCCAACAGCCTCCCTCCACGGCGCTCCCGGGGCCTGGCGACAGAAACCCCGCTGCAGGTGCCAGTTCCCTGGGACCTTTAGCCAAGCGGGTCTCACCGGCCCAGCAGCAGCTCCCCAGGCCGGGGCAAAGCTCTGCGCCACTTCTCCCCTGCCTGGGGCACCGGGCTGCTGGTGGGTATCTCGTGGTGATGCTGGGAACAGCCAAGCCCCGAGTGACCCCCAGCATCGCCCCCGGAGCACCCCTTGCCAAGGGGGATGTGATCCCAGCGATCAGCAAGGGACCAGGGTGGCCCCCCAAGCCTGCCGGGCAGGGCCCGGAGCTCCCCCTTGCTGCCAACGCGGCAGAAGCTCTGTAGCACCGAAGCCTGGCAGCAGAAGAGCCCTGGAGGTGCTGGGCAGTGTGGCATGGCTCCCGGCCCAGCCTGCTCCTGCTGGCAGCAGCTGACTCAGCAGGTTCCGTGGGTGAGCCGCCTGCCCACCCCTGCCCTGCTGGGCCCGGACTTTGCTCACCAAAGGCCGCCGGCCAGGCAGATGTGGCTTGCAAGCTGTAAACATGCGCCGTGGCTGTGGTCACCCCTCCGCCTGTGTGCTGCCTCGGCCAGGTAACGTGCTCCCCAGGGCGCCCCCTCTGCAAAGCGCTGGGGAGCAGCCAGGGCACCCCATCTCCACACATCCCACCCGCCGGCTGGGTGACACTGTGCACCCACTGCTCCCACGGGGACGTAGTCCTGTCCCCAGAGCAGAGGGCAGGGAGACATTAAGCGTCACCTCAGATTGCACGTCCCCATGGAGATACTTTGCTTCTGAACACTGCAAACTACTTCCAGCACAAGGCAGGTTATTTTGGGGCTCCACAGCTATTCCTGGTGGGGTGGAGCTAATGGGGCAGGGATGGAGCTGGCAGCCTCACAAGGGACGCTTGCACCCATGACTGGCACCCCACATGGGTCCCTCCTTCTCCCCAGGACCTCAGCCAGGATCACTCACCCTGTGTAGGCTGGCTGGCTGCTCCGGAGGGGTCAACTGCGAGAGCCAGGAGGGGAAATCCTTCTGCGGGCTCTGAAACAGATCCAGAGGGTCACACCAGGTTGTCCCCTATCTCACCTCCACTCTCATACCACGCAGCGTGCTGTGGTTTGGAGCCCACGTTATATTGCTATGGATATGTGTCACTTTACTGTCACTAAAAGGAATTTTGAGATTGAGCGGTTGTTTGCAACTGGTAATCCGCTGCAGCAGTCTCCAGCTCCATCCCATTGCCCAGACAAACATCCACCTCTGGAATGGGCAGGGTTAGGCCTGGCTGGAGCAGTCCCTCCCCCAGCCCCTGTGCCATGTCCCTGCCTGCCTGCACTGGCCATTGCAGTGCTGTGCTGTCCAGATGTCGAGTTGGCTCACCTCCTTCATCCCTGGCTTGCTGTTCCTGTGGCAGTGCAGGAGGATCCTGTGTTTTAAGCAGCTGCATAGCTCTCAGGATTTGCTGCTGCTTGTTGAGAGCTGATGTGCTCTAATGAGGTAGAGGACTCTGAGCTGTAGTTTGCCAGCTTCTAGTCCCTCTGGCTCAGCCTGGCTGCCGGGTGCAGCAGGGTGAAGCTGAACATTAATAGAGAAAATGTATGTTCTGCTGCACTGCTGGAGCAAAGGGCTTGTGCAGGGTGTGATTGGGTGAGGAAAGGAGGAGACAGCAGGGATGGGAGAGGAAGGAGCAGGAAGAGGGCAGTTGTTGGATCAGCTCTGCTGTATGGTGTAACCTCACCCTCAGCTTTGTAGCCATCCCCATGACTTAAACTCCCCTTTTGCCCTCAGAGAAAATGAACCACTGGTGCTTAATAGTTGCCAGAGAGCTGGTGCCTTCAGGTGAAGGACCTTTGCAGGACTTGATGACTTCCTATGGCTCGTAAAGGTCCAGTGCACCCTGCAGAGCTTGTCCTTGCCACCACACGGAGGAGACACAAGCCACCCTGCTCTGGCCAGAATGTCCCTGCCCCAGTTGTCATCCTTCAGATTTTTTTCTTTAACCCTTTAAATTAAGCGTTACTGCTGCTAGAACCTAACGCTGTACTTTTAAAAGCACTTCCTTCTTTTTTTGTTTGGTAGATCTCCGAAGCTGGGAAGGACTCCTTGCCTTCTTGGTTACACTGGAACGCAGAGAGCAGCTCCCTGGAAGGGCTGCCCCTTGACACGGACAAGGGCGTCCACTACATCTCGGTGACCACGCTGCAGCCCTTCCCAAACGGGAGCTATGTGCCACAGACTGCAAATGTCTTCTCTGTTGAGGTCCACCAAGAAGACCACAACGAGCCTCAGTCAGTGCGAGTGGCCGTCCAAGACACGGGTGACACAGCACCATTCGTGTGTGGCTCGGAAGAGCCTGTCACTATCCTGACTGTCATTTTGGATGCCGACTTAACAAAAATGACACCAAAGCAGAGGATTGAACTCTTAAACAGAATGAGAAGCTTCTCGGAGGTGGAACTTCATAACATGAAGTTGGTTCCTGTTGTAAATAACAGACTCTTTGACATGTCAGCCTTCATGGCTGGACCGGGAAATGCAAAGAAGGTGGTGGAAAATGGGGCCTTACTCTCATGGAAACTGGGATG